TGTCTCTGTAAAGAAAATGCAAAAGTGCTTTGCTGGGGAGAATAGAAAGGGGCTTTCTGAAGAGGTGCTGAAGACATGAAAATTCAGAGTGGTGATTGGTCACCTCTGCTTGATTGACAGGTTGCAGGGAAAAACAAAAACCCATTTGTTCTGGCTTAATGGAACTGGAAAACAGAAAATGAGTATCAGGTAAAAATTCCTTTTTTAAAATCTTTGCAGTTCTCCTTTAAAAAGTGGAGTTTTTACACAAATCTACACCTCCCCCACTCCAGTAAATTAGGAGTAGGAATTACAGAAACAGGCAGTTGCTAAGTTGTGTAATGTGGGTTGTCTATGTCAGTGCGTTTTCTAGCAGGCAGGTGTTCTGAAACACCGCAGCAGCCAATGCTACTGGGCTAGCTTAGCAAAAAGGCAGAGGATCGAAAGGGTGTAGTGACTAAGCCCTGAACTGGACCCAGCTCTTTGGTTAGGCTCATTAGCAGGACTTCAAGGGGAAGCTTTTATTTTCACTTCCTATACTGTGCCTGCTTTGTGGATAAAGTCTGTCAGTTTCTACTACTATCAATTTGGCATCTTTCATGAGCATTATTACAAAATTCACTGAAAAGTGAATAGCTAAAAAGTAAACTATGTTTTAAAGTAACTTCCATCTAGCAGTATACTGTCTTACAGATTTTATAATAAATTTCAACATCAGCACCACAGTTTTGAGAATCATAACTGAAAATTATTTCTTTCTGGTAACTTAACTATTTTGTATGTTGATGTATTTCAGATTGAAGGACAAGGACATGGTGCAGTTTTTGACTGCAAGTGCTCTCCTGACGGACAGCATTTTGCATGTACTGATTCTCACGGTCACCTTCTGATTTTTGGCTTTGGTTCCAGTAGCAAATATGACAAGGTACAGTGCAAGATGAAAATCAAAATGTTTGTCTGTGTTGAATTCATTTGTGCAAACTTTCCTTCAGAGCTTCATTTCAAGAGGGTGTATCTTAATACAATTTTGAGCCATTAATATGGGATGGTTTAGGTTCCTGTTGTTGACATGGAGCTTTCTTTCACTGTCTTTTTTTAAACTATGGAAACATGCTAGTAAGCTACTGTTTACTTGGGAAATTAAAAATAATTTTAAACTTTTTTTTTTTTTTTAAATTACCCAGTCACTGTCTACTCTCTTAAGTGACGAGGTTACAAGTGTCTGCTAATGGATCCACATGGATAATGTGAATAACCTGCAGTGGAATTGATAATAGTTAAACATTTTGCTTTAAATATTTTTCTGGTTCCTAACTAAGACCAAAAAGGCGGGGTGTGTAATAGAACTAGCTCCTGCTATCTGTATTTAAACATTGCATAGCCTGGGAGACAATTATTTACAATAAATGTACTATATATTCTAGTGATACAATTTTATGTCTGCTAATGAAGTTCTGCTGTCATGGGTGCCTTGGAGCTTACACAGCAATGTTCCACTGTTACTGTGTAATTAAAATATTACATCTTTATTCTAATGTTATAGTCTACATTGTTTGTTCTAAGTGTGGGTGTCTTGCCACAGACCCTCATGACTGTGAAGATATGTGGTGGTGTTTTGTTCCCCCCCCGTGGATGAACATACCCTATGAACCATACAGGTTACCTAGTTTGGAATGCCCACAAGGCCCTAATTCTTCTCTTACCACCCATGGAAGAGGTGAGGTGTGTCTATTCTCCCTCTTTCTAAGACTCAGGGAGACACATCTGCTCCAGAATTTTAATCTCTGCTTCTGGTAGCTGATCTCTGAAGGTTGTTGGTGAAGTGCTGGCTTCTGGATCTTGCCTCCTGCTTTGGATCTTTGGACTCAGGCTGGCCTTGAAAGCAGTTTGGCAAAGAGCAGCACAGAGGGGCATGAAGGAGGGAGAGCAAAAGGAATTTTACTCATTGTCTTGTAAGCCACTGCCTCTTTCTGTAATCTTCCAGCTCTTACTTTGATGCTAGTTACGGCAGCATTTGCCTATTGGGGATGATTCCCCCCCCCCCCCCTTGTCTCTCAACTATAATTTGAAGTACTCTGTACTTGGCTGCTGTTGCTATCCCTCAGTTATTACTAACTGTGCATTTCCCCTTCCATTCCAAAGAAAACAAGAGCAGAGATACCACAAGCAAGGAAAACCAGGATTATCAGATAATTTTCAAGGCCTTTGTCTTTCAGAGTTCTTACTCTTAAGCCTGTTGTAATAGAAACATTTTCTCACCATGTCTGTGGATTGTTCAGGTTTATTTTTCTTTCCAGTCATTTTGGAAGCGTATAGCCCGCTGCTACTCAGAAACGTTGGAAATGAAATTGAAACTGAGAGCCTTTTTGTCTTTGCTGTGACAGACCAGGAGTTTCCTTTACGCTGCCATTTGAGAATTTACCTTGTGAGGGATTAGATCTGTTTGAAGAATGAAAACAACTGCATTTCACTTCTTGAATTCTGCAGACCCTTTCTTCTCTTGGGGTTTTCGCTGCAGCCTCTGACAAAAGATTGTTTAAAATTTTTCACTTACTGGGTGATTTAAAATGATCCTCTCCAGCTGTTACTGTGCCAATGGTAATCTTGGCATTCTTGACCATAGAAGAAATGGGAGCAAATAGGACATACATTTGTTATCTCTTTTATCTCAGTCTTTGACTCTCAGAAAACTCCACTTGGAAGTTTCTCATCTCTTTCTTGTCTGATTCCATCTCCTCTTTCATTTTCTTCTCACGTGCTTTATGGAAAAATGTAACTACAGATAGGTATGTGCTAGAGATTAGGTGTTCTTTTTTCTGTCTTCCCACCTTCAGATACTTGGGGTTTTTTCAGACATCTTCTGAGAATATGCTCTGGTAAGGCCTGTGGTTTTTTGGCTTTAAAGTGGTTTCCATCCATCTTTGGGAATGATTTTTGCAGAAGAAATGAGTGTGGTAACCTGTCCTGTATTCCTGCAGTTGCAAGTTGTGTTCAGGACGATGATTATAGCCAAGATAGTGTTAGATCTGCTGAGAGAGCAAGCTCTTGTTTTTCCACATCTATGTTTTTTCATGGTACGTGCAGGTAGTATCTCTGTTTCCTAGTTGACTGGAACCACTGTCCAGGCTTCCCCCCCCCACGCCCCCCCCCCCCCCCCAGTGTGGTCTTGGTCATTACAAAGGCAATGGAGTGTTTTTGCTATGTTTTGGGTTGGGGTTTGTTTTTTTTTTTTGATGATACATGTTTTTGTGGAGTAATTCTTTAACGGAGGGGGAAAAAAGAGAATACATTTGCTGCTTTTTTGGGGCTCCTTTGTTATTTGACCTAGTTAAGGGAACCTTGAGCCAATCTCATCTGAGATTTCTGAGAGTGTGAAGATCATCAGAGATGAGCGGAGCTGACTGTCAGCAGGGCATGTGCACTTCAGAAGTTCTTGCTTAGGTGGAAACTTGTCCAGTAAGGCCTAACAGTCCTAAAGCATAAGGTACCTTTCTGTTGATTTTAAGTCTTAGATTGGGCTAGATCTCTGAGCTTTCTAAGGCTTTAGTTCCTATAGGCTGCCCAAACCACCGTTCTTTGTTGCAAATTGACAGCTCCTGTGTGGTGGATTGGTGCAACAGTGGGAAAAATCTCTTTGCATTTGTGTAGGTGTGCCCATTTGGAGAAACTGAGCATTCTGAATGTACAGTGTAGTTACTGAAGGAGAGTCTATTTGTAGAGCTCAGACCCTGTGGAAAGCTTTCCCACTGAAACCCAAGCTGGGTTTTTGAAGTTGTATGTACAGAGGACTCGTGTCCTAATGGTGGTGTAGTGTCTTCTTTCTGTCATGAATTTGATCTCTGATATGTATGTATCGAGAAATAGGTCTGATTTGTTAGTACTCTTAACTTGTTGGCTGCTCAACATAGCCATTTAAGATTCTCGAAAATGTCTAATTTTTCTCAGGACTTGGAATAGCCTGAGGAGAACATTGTTGTCCCAGGTTCCAGTAGGGACATTCCAGCGTTCTGCCTGAGAGTTGGTCTGAGCCTGGGTTCTCCATGAAATGCCATTCTTATCTCATGGAGTTAAAAATTGTTTACTCTCTCTACTGTATTTGATTGCGGTACAGAGTACACAGAAGGGTAATTGCAAAGAAGTCCTTCATGATCTTGCATCAGAGACTATTCTGGTATAGGTCACTGAATCTAAGGGATTTTCAGATCTTCCCTTTGCTTACAAAACCTGGGATGCAGACAACACAGCACAGTCTATATGATCATGCCATTGGAATCTTGTATTTCTCAGTGCGCGAAGTACTTAATAGGAAAATTTACACTAAGTGAAAGTACTGGATACTCTAGTATTACGAGTCTAGAGAAAATCGTAAGTCCTCCCAGAGGACCTGTATCTTTATCATACTGATGTATTTGAGCTGAAGGAACAGAGTTCTTAAGCAGGCCTTGATTTTGTCAGTCAGACACATGAAAGTACTTCTATCTTTCTCATTCAGCCTCTGTTAACAGAGAATCTGGCAACAAGACTTCATCCAGCCAGGGCTTCTTACTTCAGTGAGATGTCACCTTGTCCATACACACTTTGTAAGGGTGACCTTTTGAATCCCTGAAGTAAATTCTTTGCCATTGCATCTTTCCAGTTTTCTTCCTTTCTGAATTTTTGTGGGGTCCAGATCCCATGATTCCTATGGTATTTTTAATTTTGTTTTTAGCCACTTCATGTGGATGCATGTAGGCACTTTCTGATGTTGAAATTGACAGATGTTTGTCATCATCTTTCCTTCCTGGTCTTCTCACATCCAGGACAGGAGAACTTTGTTGTTGAGAGACTGGACCTCTGAGTACATGCTATAACCTCTGCCTTACTGGTTTCTACATAACAAGTTACTGGAAACTATACTATGGATTGGTCACAATAGAGCATGCTCTTCAGAAATCAGAGTATATTCTATAACAACTCAGGCATCCCTCTGTGCTCAAATACCTGTCTTTAAGATCTAAGATAATATTTTTTTTGCAGATCTCTATGCCTTGAGTCAGTTGTTTAATCATTTTTATGCTGCACTGGAAATCTAATTTGCGTGAATGATTATTTTATGATGTTATTTTTACTTGTTCAAAGTTAAACCAAGTACATGAGCTGCCAAGGGGTTTGCTTGCCAGTAGGTAGTGTTGGGCTGTGTAGTATATGTGTCAGCTTGTCTTGTGTTCTCTTTCTCTTTTCTCCTTGCGGTTCAGTATCTTTCTGATTGCATGCTATTAAGGCGCATGTACCAGTGAGGGATGCAGCATAAACCTTTTTACATACTGTTCGGACAGAAGAATTCCTCAGTCTTGAGTGTCTGTGGAAAGTCATCTAGAATAAATTATGAGCAGATGGACTGACATAAAAAAGAAAACTTTGAGCCTGAAGAATTCAACTTCAGATACTCTTTGTTTTTATCTACCGGAACCTTTTCACATATCTAGCATTATAGTAAGAATGTGTATGTTTGGCTCCTGATGTTAAAATATTTGGCAGTGACATGATGTGGTAAATATTTTTCTATTCCTCTCCTTCCTACACCATAGCTCAGAAGTCTGTGACAGTTTTCATTATCAGACTATATATTCATATATTCAGAGTACAGAAGAAAATTTGTAACCTATTTAATACGTCCATGCTGTGTTCTGTCAGTGTCTTCAAGTAGTTAAATTTTTTTTCCCATGTTCTTTAAATGCTCCCCACCCTCAAACATGTGGATTATTCTCCTTGCACTATAATGTAGAAAAGGAATACTGGGGAAAAAAATAATCATGGAGTCATTACATTTTCCCCTTTAAACTGAGATAAATGGATCAGCTTATAACCTTTTTTTGCAAAAGTAACCATGAGAACATTGTTAAAAATACTTTTGGCAGTTATCTTCTGTATGTTTTTTTAATAGGTTCTTTAAAAAAAATTACAAAATGACTTTGTTTACAGATAGCAGATCAGATGTTCTTTCATAGTGATTATCGGCCCCTTATCCGTGATGCCAACAACTTTGTCCTGGATGAACAGACACAGCAGGCTCCACACCTTATGCCTCCCCCATTTTTGGTTGATGTGGATGGCAACCCTCATCCTGCAAGGTATCAAAGGCTAGTTCCTGGTCGTGAGAACTGCAGGGAGGAACAGCTTATTCCTCAGATGGGAGTGACATCTTCAGGTATGGAAAATTTCACTTCGGTACACAGTAGCCTATCTAGTTACCTCCAGGTGTTCTACATTTTCCCTTTCACTTCATCCTTTTTCTTCATTTTTGGGCATAGTAGTTCACGTGGTGTGGAAGAATTGCAATGTCCATGGCACTGATTCTGACAATTCCATTTACAGTATTGTCATCGATCAAGTCAGTACTAGTTGATGCTACAATGCCAGTTAGCTTGGAGCTCATTGCATTATTGGAACAGTGTATGATGCTGAGTCAGCTTTCAGTTGATCTCTTTGGGTAAGATTTCCTACTTCAGAAAACGTAGGATATAGGCTGATCTTCCCCAGGTCAGTTGGAACAGGTAACACCTACAAGAAGAGAAGAATGAGAGGAGACCTGAAACATGCAAAATCCTCCTCTTTAGATGAAGGTGGTCATTCAACTTAAGCTTTGATGGTTTGGTTAGAGAGCTCTGAAGACTTGATGAGGATACAAAATCTAGGAAGGATTCCTTGGAAGTTGTATTCTCCATGCACACAACATGGGAGGAGCATGCATATTTTGGGCCAATGGCTGGCTGTTGGAAACTGCCTAAATGGGTGGGGGTGTAAAAACTGTGCCTTCTTGTTATGTGTCACTAGTTTGATATTAGTATGAATGAGCAAACAGTGACTGGTGAAAGCAGCTTTAAATGTTTTCAAGATAAGCATTGTCAAGTATTTGGGTATTCTTGAAAATACGGGAAAACTGACTGTGCCTGTACATAGTGGCTTATATCTACACCATTCTTAAGCCTGTGGTGTGTCAGATGTTCCAGGAAGGTTAACTGACAGTGTTGTTACCAAAAGATCTCTTTATCCTCATTTGCAGACCTGAGGACTACAAGCCACTGAATACTTAAATAATAATTTTTAAGGAGCGTTTCCATATTTCTTCCAAAATTGTAGGAAGAAATGCTACCTCACAAGCAACTGTAAGAAGGAAAAAATCCTTTCTGGTGAATGTATGCCATGTTTTATCTCTTAACTTTTTAGCTAGTGCCTTTAAAGCTAAATTCAATTTCCAAGGAAGGATGCAATTTTACTTTATTGTTACAGTCACAGCATGGATCCATGATACTCTGAAATTCTCCAAATTTGAAAATGTCCTGGGCACGTTCTCCAGTATAGTATTTTGAAACAAGCCAGACTCTGCACACAGACCCAACAATATTAAATTTGATGGTGTGGCTGCATGATACATGAATGCCTGTAGGAAGATGATGTCCACAGCATTTTGTTTAATAGCAGGAAGCCATCAACCAGGCTGAGAGAGAGACAGATTTTGGAGAGACAGAAGACATTCTTCTACCTCTTTACAGTTTAGCAACAATATACGTGGTCTTACACAGATCTAAACTGTGTTCATGTATCTTATATGTTCCCTTCCACTAAGGAAGCTCCATTTCTTTCTGAAACTTTATTGTGGGATTTGATGGATCTCCCTCAGAGCACTGCCAATTTATTTCTTGTCAAGTTTTCTGTAGGGGCTTATAAGAGCAGGGGGGAATTCAGATAGTCATGCTTGACTGACTGCTTAGATGTACATGAAGCTCCTTTAAGCCAGATGTTTTGGAAAAATCAAATATATACCAGTGTCTTAAAAAAAACTTGCTGTTACTTGCGAAAGCAAAATCTCACAAGCTAGATACATAAAAACCATTTGTTTTGTTTAGATAGCAGTTTCCTTAAAGATCATTCTTGGGTTATTAGTAGTAGTTCCCATTGTTTCATGTCTGCTCATGAGATCACCAGATAAATTTGACTGTCTCACTACATGAGTCAGAAGACATCCAGCTGTGGTTATACCAGAGCTCATTCCATGATTCCAAGCTTCTGCTGCTTTAGGGAAGTTGACTTCAACTACAATAACCTTGAAACTGTGAGAGCACTATCTTAAATATTTATGTTCTTTCTGCATACCATCATCTATTAAGAGGCGGCTGCTTCTGTCTAGCCACATAATCAAAGCTCTTCATTTCATAGCACAATTACTGTAATATCTTGTATTTGATCTTGCAAAGTGCAGTTTGTACTATGATATCTCTTTGGAATCGTGCTGGAAAAATAATTTCTGTAGCTTGTTTCTTTGAACATTGTTACCCCTCACTACAAACTTTGCAAGTTCTGCTTCTCTTGACCAGAGCTTCCCACCACTCCACTCCACCATCTGACTATGCCATGTGAAGGTATCTGACTTCCTTTTCAAATCAGTACTGTAACCCTTGCCTTTTTCTCCATACCTCTATTTTTTTTTTGTGTCCATTGTGAGTATGAAAAGAGGTTTTGTGTTTTTTATGCTTACACGCTGTATTTCTTGCTTGGTGCACAGAATCAGTATTATCACCTTGTAATCACTTCTGTGAGAACTATTTCCTGTCTGTTATTCAAGAGACCTACCCAAAAGGAGGTTTCCTGGCTGTTCTGCATACCAAAGAAAATTAGCATTACTTAACCTGTGTCATCATTATGCCTATGTGGAGCTCAGTCAAGCATTTTTACTGCTTGCTGTTCTCCAGTATAGATATTCTTTTCTAATTCAGTTAGACCTTCTTGATGTAGTTCTTTCATTGAAGTTTATACTAAAATGTTTTATAATGCATTTGGGGCATGCTAAGCACGCATTTGAACAATTTACATTGACTAAGCTGACAAACAACTGTTGTAGTAAGCTTCTATGACTTGCTGGCACTTGATCAAATTTAAACTTTAATTAGGAGTGGCATGGGATCATCTTAACCCTTCTGTAGGAAATCTAATGCTCTCAGTATTAAGAAAAAAGTTGTCCTGTTTAAAAAATGGCTGTTACAAAAATGTACCTTAGCCCATACTTAATGTGTGATTGTATAATATATTTGTAAGTTTCAAAGCTGAAACTTAGATGAGCTACTTGTAACATTTGGTTCTTCAAATCAACGTTTTGTTCTGTTGTATATTTTGCTTCACAGGATTGAATCAAGTTCTTAGTCAACAGGCAAATCAAGAAGTTAGTCCGTTGGATAGCATGATTCAAAGACTTCAGCAAGAGCAAGACCAGAGGCGTTCTGGGGAGGCAGGAACCAGTAGTACCAGCCGGATAAGCAGAGGTAGATTACTGGGGGATGGCTGTTGTGGCTTTTCTATTGAAACAGATGAGAGTCAGAAAAAGTAAATCACATTATTGTGCATGATTTCTGCATTTTGTTGAACTACTAGAAAGGAGGTATGGAGCCATAGAAAATAATACATCTTTCCCATCTTTTTTTATCTTTCTGCAAAATCTCAGGATTCTTAACATTACAAATTTATCTTTGTTAAAGTTAAACTGTCTGCTCACTCGGGGAACTTGCAGCAACTGCATTCCCTTAGAAGTAACTACCCTACTCTTTAATCTGGAATTGGCCATCTACTTGATTGAAATCTGAATTGTCTCAGATAAGGAAATAGGAGGGAGAAAAGAGGAAAGAGCTGCTTGTTTCTCAGTACAGCTCTCTCACGTTTCAGTGTCTCCCGCTAGATTACACAGTAGTTTTCAACACTTAAAAAATCATGGTTGGTAATCCACCTGAGTAAGCAAGAATAGCTTGTGTGTGGAAGTGTAGGTGTTTGAAGGATCTTGCATGTGTGTGTGGTTTTGGTTTTTTGGTTTGTTTTTTGGGTGGTTTTTTTTTTCCTTTTGAGCATTTCAGTTTCTTGTCTGTAAATTTTACAGCTTGGATTCCTAATAATTTCCAGTGTTGTGGCTTCATTTTTTTTTGAAGGTAGAAGACTGTTTAAGGGATACACTGATTCAGTGAGATAGCTCACCATTTTATAATACGGATGTAGAGTGCAGTAGCAATAGTCAGCTTTTGCATGAATGTTTTCAAAAGCATTTTTAAAGAAAACCAAACCAAGGAAATATTTGCTTCACTTCAGACTGTTGATACATCTGCTCCTTTTCAATGCAAATTTTTAAACAGAGTACTGCAGCCCAATAGCTGTTTAAATGTGTGTGTGTTGTGGTGACTACAGAAATAGCTGAAGTAGTTATATTCAGTTAATATTTGATTTCTTCTGAAGTAATTGATTAAGTGAAATTCTCTTTTTCCTTGCATTTTGAGTTTTTCTTTTTAAATGCTTCCCTTAGAATTTCAGATCAGGTACAACTATCACTTTTTGACTTTTTAGGATCTGTAAGTTCTACCTCAGAAGTACATTCACCACCAAATATAGGATTAAGACGTAGTGGACAAATTGAAGGTGTGCGTCAGATGCATAGCAATGCACCAAGAAGTGAAATAGCCACTGAGCGGGACCTTGTGGCTTGGAGTCGAAGGGTTGTAGTGCCTGAACTGTCTTCTGGTGTGGCCAGGTAAACACAGGACAAGTTTGCAGTGAATTTTAGTTTAGTGAACTTTAATTAAATTGAGCAGTTTTTGAATTCACATTGTCATAGAACTACTTATGTGGTATTTATCTATTCTGTGGTCTCATATTTCTTGTAAAATCAGTTTCAGTTTGAAATCAGTTGTTGTTTGCATATCACTTGAAAAATCTTGGAATTATAGAAGTATTGTGAATAAAAATTGACCATTTAACATATGACAGAGTAATTTAACTTGCATATGCAATAGGATCTAGCTGCCTCAATGTTTTCTGACTTGTAGCATGAGATTACAATATGTTTTAACTCCATCTGTTCCTGCCATTATAATGGTGTTTTACAGCTGGGGCACTGACCTAATCCATTGGGTGTCAGAGGTGAATTTTGATTTCCAAAGTGGAAACTTATTTTGTTCAGTAATTAACTCTTGTGATGAATACTTATATCACTAAGTCTAAGAACCCTACCAGTCACAATCAAAACATAAACTGCTCTAGCTTTTTGAAATAAGACTGAAACCTTACTTTGTTCAGACAGGGTGATTTTGAAGCCACATTTTGACTGTAAAGAGAACTACTGTTCAAAGAATGTTACAAATGTTGAACATTTATTTCTTGATTTGGAATAGATACTCTCAGTTGTAGTATTTTGCTTTAAAGTTAACATCTCAATTTTCTTTTTCAGTAGGCAGGAAGAATGGAGAACAGCAAAGGGAGAAGAAGAAGTAAGGGTGTATCGATCAGAAGAGAAAAGAAAACATGTTACGAGTCACATTCAAAGAGAAAACAAAATACCTACTTTCTCTAAGGTAAGTAGTCACTTGTACTGTATCACAGTAAGAAGCATAAAATTTAACTCAATGTGTTAGGCCACATAAATTTATATTCCTCTTCTCAGTTTTAAATTTAAAAACCAGGGGTACAGGAATCTGTACAAAGAGGAAGCATGTCTCTACGGATGTTTCACTATGTTCTGAGTAAACAACGGGGATTGCTTTTAGAACCCCCTAAGTGAGAAGCCCTGTGAATTTGGTATTAGGGACATGATTTGCTGTAGGGACTCTGTCACTATTAATCAGTGCATCCCACTGTTGTTGTCTGCTGTTTGACATACTGTTCTGTGGAAAGGTTCAATTAAAACTCAGGTCATACTTCTTAACCTTAACACATTTAAATACCTCTCCAAATACAGAATTGGGTGTTTTCTCTCATGGTACCCTAATGATCATATTGCATTTTTTTATGGGATATTTCTGAGTCATGCTTTTTGCTAGAGCTGGAGTGCATTTTTCAGACAAGAGGAAAACAGGATAGATGAAATAGAAGGGAATGGGTTGTATTAAAAATGGAATTGTTATAACTGACTTGATGTTTCATGTAACTTGCAAAACAATGTAATCATGCCTTTATGCTGGTAAGAAAATGTAAAGCAAGTATATTCTATATTTACAAAAATAATTTTATGTGTTGTTTGTTAGAAACAATAGTCATATCTATGCATCTTAGAAGGGCCAGAGCCCAACTAGAACTTAATCTGGCTACTGCTGTAAAAGACAAATGTTTCTATAAATACGTTAACAACAAAAGGAGAGCTAAGGAGAATCTTCATTGTTTATTGGATGTGGGGGGAAACATGGTGACAAAGGAAGAGGAGGCGGCTGAGGTACTTAATGCCTTCTTTGCCTCAGTCTTTAATAGTAAGACCAGTTGTTCTCAGGGTACCCAGCCCCCTGAGCTGGAAGGCAGGGACGGGGAGCAGAATGAAGTCCCCATAATCCAAGGGGAAATGGTTAGTGACCAGCTACTCCACTTAAACACACACAAGTCTGTGGGGCCAGATAGGATCCACCCAAGGGTACGGAGGGAGCTGGCAGAAGTGCTCACCAAGCCACTTTCCATCATTCATCAGAAGTCCTAGCTAACTGGGGAGGTCCCAGTTGACTGGAAGTTAGCAAATGTGACGCCAATCTACAAGAAGGGGTGGAAGGAGGATCCAGGGAACTACAAGCCTGTCAGTCTGACCTCAGTGCTGGGGAAGGTTATAGAGCAGATCATCCTGAGTGCCATCACATGGCATGTACAGGACAACCAGGGGATCAGGCCCAGTCAGCATGGGTTTATGAAAGGCAAGTCCTTCTTGACTGACCTGATCTCCTTCTATGACAAGGTGACCCCCTTAGTGGATGAGGAAAAGGCTGTGGATGTTGTCTACCTACACTTCAGTAAAGCCTTTGACACCATGTCGCACAGCGTTCTCCTGGAGTAACCGGCTGCTTGTGGCTTGGATGGGTGTACTCTTCACTGGCTGGATGGCCAGGCCCAAAGAGTCGTGGTGAATGGAGTTAAATCTGGTTGGTGGCCAGTCTCAAGCAGTGTTCCCCAGGGCTCAGTATTGGGGCCAGTTCTGTTTAATATCTTTATCAACGATCTGGACGAGGGGATGAAGTGTACCCTCAGTAAGTTCGCAGACAACACCAAACTGGGTGGGAGTGTCGATCTGCTGGAGGGTAGGATGGCCCTGCAGAGGGATCTGCCAGGCTGGATTAATGGGCCAAGGCCAATCGTATGAGGTTAAACAAGGCCAAGTGCCAGGTCCTCCACTTGGGTCACAACAACCCCATGCAATACCACAGGCTTGGGGAAGAGGGGCTGGAAAGCTGCCTGGCCGAAAAGGACCTGGGGGTGCTGGTTGACAGCCAGCTGAACATGAGCCAGCAGTGTGCCCAGGTGGCCAAGAAGGCCAACAGCATCCCGGCTTGTATCAGGAATAGTGTGGCCAGCAGGAGCAGGGAGGTGGTTGTCCCCCTGTACATGGCCCTGTTGAGGCTGCGCCTCAAATATTGTGTTCAGCTTTGGGCCCCTCAAAACAAGAAGGACATTGAGTTGCTGGAGCATGTCCAAAGAAGGGCAGTGAAGCTGGTGAAGGGTCTGGAGCACAAGTCCTATGAGGAGCAGCTGAGGGAACTGGGGTTGTTTAGCCTGGAGAAGAGGAGGCTGAGGGGAGACCTTATTGCTCTCCACAACTGCCTGAAAGGAGGTTGTAGCGAGGTGGCTGTTGGTCTCTTCTTCCAAGTAACAAGCGATAGGACAATTGGAAATGGCCTCAAGTTGTACCAGGGGAGGTTTAGATTGAATACTAGGAAAATTTCTTCACTGAAAGGGTTGTCAAGCATTGGAAGAGGCTTCCCAGGGAAGTGGTGGAGTCACCATCCCTGGAGGTACTTAAAAGATGTCGACATGGTGCTTAGGGATGTGGTTTAGTGGTGGACTTGGCAGTGCTAGGTTAACAGTGGGACTTCATGATCTTAAAGGTCTTTTCCAACCTAAATGACTCTGATTCTGTGATCTCGTATGCTTATCTGTGCTGTTCTAGCTAAATAACCAACTATGTTTTGCAATAAAGGAAGTAAATTTTAAGCAACTGTAAAGGAGAACCCATGCTTTCGGCTTTGTAGTATGCTTATCCTAGATGAGACTGTTTCACCCTTAATCAAAAGCTTAGTAAAATATGGGCCTTCAAGAATGCCTGCTAATTGTCCATTGAAAAGTAAAAATCACCTATGGGGTTCAAGGTGGAAAAATGAAGAAATGAAATATTAAGGACAAGTATACAAAAGACTGTGCAGCTCTTAAATTTATCAGAGTACCATACTTAATGCCTGTGCTATTTATTATTCATTTTCTTGGGGAGGAAGGACTGAGATTGAAAGCAATCTGAAAGTAAGTAAATTTCAGATGCTTGGTAGTGCTTCTGTGTTTTTTTCATAATGATCAATTAATTTTATATGCAGTAGAAAGAGTAAATTTGAGATGAGCAAGTTTCTACTTGATACTAAACTTGAGTGTTCAATTTTTGCTCCTTTTTTCATACTCGACCAAAGTAAAGCTTTCAAAAGAAGTGAGATGAACACTCCAACCCCCAGACAGTCCCCTAATAATTTTCAATTTCTCTTTATTAAATTTCATAATTTTTTATTCAATTTCTTTCTTGTATTAAAATTGTGTGCATTGCTGTCTTGAGAAATGGTACCAACATGCTAATTTCAATACTGTGGTCACCAACATTAAGTGTGTTTGCCCGAGACAAAGTGAACAAATATTTTTCAGCATATCTCCAGTTTTTGTACATAGAGGGAGGAGGCTCTTTGCCACTTACTGTTTCAGAGGTGGCCATGGCAGGGCTCATTAATGAAATACCAGGACATCAGAAATCTTGGTAACTCCTATTTTTCTCTCAGACATAGTAGAAAATGGGCCTCACAAATTCAGATTTTAACAAAGTTATTTCTTGTCTTGAGGGGATGTATTTTGGTGCTGAATTATAGACTTTGTTTTAGTTAATTAAACAATGGAACTGCTCATGGGTTTCTTTTTTTTTGTTGGTTTGTTTTGGTTTTTTTTTGTTCAGCTACGGCCTAGTCAAAAGATCCTTCCTGATAATGTGAATTCTCACCAACTTACCCTCAAATCTCTAACTGGGTTGCAGTTTTCCTAAAATATCATTAGGACATAAAAATAGCAGAGTAGGCTAGTTGGTTCAGCATTTTGGTTTCAGCGATTAGTTTTATTACATCTTTGAATCAGAGAAACTTAATATGGATGTTTTCGAAACTCTCTTCTCAGAGGAGAAACTTTTTAATCTCCAAACTTTAAAGGTAGCACTGGATCATTTTGAGCCCCATATTTTTGTTGTGGATATTTATGCCCTTAAAATCCTTCAGAGCAGAAGCTAGCTTAGGAAAACCTTCAGTTTCATATATTTACCTCGAGAAGAACATGTCCTTCATTTATCTTGGTCCCTGGGGAGTCTGTGATGTGGATTCTGATGCCCAGAATGTGAGGGGGAGATAACTTGGTAAATCCTTCAGTCACTTCCCACCTTCATCTTGAGGAAATACGGCAAAAAGCAGACAGTCGTGGTCTCTGCGTACTCTCTTGAGTATGTCAGTAAATTTCCTATATAGAAATTATTGCTGAATTCAGTAACACTTTCAGAACATTTAAATAAATACTTCTTAAACCCTGCAGGATACCTTTTACAGGGGAAGTACATTATCTTATAGTAATCTGTAGACCTAAGAATTACAGCATCAAGAATTCTAGAAAGTGTGTCGTTCTACTGTCAGCTGGTCTGGGTACAGAGCCAACAGCGCTTGTATTAACACATTGTCCTCATGTGCTGTATTCGTACCAGTAGGAAATACTAATTTTTATATCAATTTTTGAAATTTATCAGTTCTGTTTATATAATAATGATAAAATAATATTTTCTTCTGTTCCCTTCTAACTGAAAGGAGTCAAAAATACAGAAGTAAAATGAGGAGGAGGGCAGGAACAAATGTTAGCATTTTGGATTACAAGCTATAGTTTAGGTCAGTAAGGAAGAACACCGAGCAGCTGTGAGCAGCTGTAATTACTTTTTGAGGAGATTCCAAAGTCCTATTACTAATTTTTAGTCCAGGGTCATTACAGTATGTGTTAAAAGTAGTTCAGAATTATGGTTCAGTCTTTCTTCTTTAACAATATCTGCAATTTAGATAGAAGTCACATCAGCTTTCTGATATTTCAAGTTAGAAAACCCACATTTCTTTGGCACAGGTCATACTGAGAAGTGTTTGTACATGATTGCTTGAGGGACTAATGGAGTTGTGTAGGAGAATCTAAAAGCTGAGGTATTTTGACCTGAATAGTATTTAGTATCACTGATCTGCATGCCAAATGAAGAACTCAGTTTGACTTTCAAAGTCATTGGTGAGGAATAGGATTTTCTGTGATTATTATTAAACAAAAACACTTTAAAAAAAAAAAC